CAGACAGATGCTCCTCCATATGCTATGCAGGCCAGGATGCTGGTTGCTCTTGACAGGCATAACGGGAAGTTGCATCAAGTTTAGGTTAACTAGGGATTCTCTGAGAAGCACAGAAGGAATTTCTTTAGAGGAGGAGAAGTACTCACTGCTTACCTGCTTCCTGTATGTCCCCTAAAACACTGCTACAAGACTCAACGCTTCAGGCATCAATAAATGCCTGTCTGAAAAAACCAGGGGGCAGCAAGCTGTTGAGCTGCGCTGAAGACAGAAGAGGCCCTCATATATTTGTTGAGCACTTACGGTGTTTGTGGACATAGGCTTTGGAGTAGTATATTTACTGTACTGTCAGGGGTCAGCTTCAAGGTCACTTTGTCTAGATTAGTTACGGCTGTCATACTACCTTCATTTCCCTTAGCCAAGTATTTGTAAAAAGGTATTTTAGAGTTAGGTGTGGTGGCACATGCCTGAGGTCTTAGTACTCCGGGAGGCTGAGGCAGGTGGATTGCAATTTGGATCACGACCTGGGCAATTTAATGATTGAGCAAGACACTGTGTCAAAAAAGGATAAGTACTGGGGTTCAATTTCAACAAAAAAAGGGCAGTTTAGCTGAATGCAGCTGTGCATGCTGGTAGTCTCAGCACTCAGCAGAACAGTTGTGAGTCGAAGTCCAGGCAGAGCTACATAGCAAGACTCCTGTCTCAAAAAACTCACATATGCACTCTCAGTGCCAGGGGTGGGACGTGCTTTATGCTTTCTCTGGCTGACCAACCTGGTGTGGTGGTGCTGGGTGTAAATGTCTCCAGGGCAAATGATGGTGACTGGGAGGAACCCAGGGGGTTTTGTAAAATGGGCTGACTTCCAAATCAGCTGGGATAACCTTACCACAGATGTGGGCACTCCTGCCAACTGCAGAGAAGGGTGCAGGGGAACCACAGAGAAGCCCCTTGTGATGTTCCAAGGAGTAAGCCAGCCCCTTCCAGGCTCCAGGAAAGGAACACCACGAAGTCATATAAAACCCGCACGTGAGTGGAGTCAGCAACGCCTTCCCTCAAAGAAATGAGACCTCCCTGTGACCAGCGAGAATATCAGGGGAATTACCAGCTGCTCCTCAAACCACACACCCTCCTGTGATTCCTCTGAATGGTCCCGAAGGGTTGTGGTGGCCGGCAAAGCCAGGCTGGAGCCAGAGTCAGCCTGCGGGGTGATAGAGTTGAGCCCATCACTGGTATGACATAGACCAGTATGCCGTGCTCTAGAAGGTGGCTGTGTGAGCCCCACCTTCTCACCAACTGGCCTCCCAACTGTAGTGAACATGAGCCCGTAGCCCCCCACGTTTAATAGAGTGTCTTCATTGATCCAACATCCAGGAATCCACTATCCCCTAGTGTATTACACTCAGCTCCCATCCACCTCACTGCAGTTTATCTGGTCTCCTTAAAGCCTTCTTTGTGCCATGCCACCTAATGTCCTACCAAGTCCCCTCTTTTCTCCTTATGCCAATCTCACCACCTCTCACCTGGCATATGCCTGACTCCTGGCAGAAGCCACCCCCATCACTCTGGCTTCTCTCCCACCCCATTCATTCAACAAAGCACCCCACCCCACCAGCTCCCAACCTTGACAGTTGACACATCCCTCAAGTACTCAGCTACTGGACCTCACTTCAGACTGGATGCCCATTTACTATCAGATGTCCAGGCTACCTGCTGGACAGACCTTGCATGGCCCAGCAGGTGCCAGCCCAGCCCTTTCCCTTGGTGGGGCCAGTTCATGGAGGAGGCAATGAGAGCAAAAGCTAGTGAGACAAGAGGGTGAAGCCCTTGATTCCCCAGAGGCAAGGGCAAAGGCCAGGTATTGTGCGAATGATAGAACATGTAGTGGGTGGACAATTGTTTTCAGGTCCTTTGACTTCAAGGGTGGAGGAAGAGGTGATGGCACCAGCACACCAAGGGTCCCCAGACACCAACCTTGAGGTCCAGTGGGTGGTTGGTGCTTTAGCACTTCAGGATTATTGTGTGGGGGAGCTCAGAAGAAAGATGAATCCAGCCCCCTCGACCCGTGGCATCATATTCCTGACCATAAGGGGGAGGGACAACAGTCAGCTAGGAATCCTGCAGAGGTGGCAGAGGAAGAGCAGGCCAGTGGATTGTACCATCGGTCCCATCAGGAACCGATAAAATATAGACCTTTACCCAAAGCAAAAATGGGTGTAGCCAATGGGAGCCTGTTGCCCATTGGAACTGACTCAGGCCTGCCACCTCTGGGCTCGCTGGTCCTGGACATGCAGGCCAGAGCCACCTTCCCAGACAAGGAGCCCGCACCACCCCCATCACCTCCTCCCCCTTACTCTCCTGTTTCATGAAAGGCACCATCAGCCAGTGAGCTGAGGTGGGTGAGGCCCTCCAGTCCCAGGATTCTGTGTGCAGTGCTGAAGTGGGTGGGGTGTGTGTGGGTGGGGTGTGTGTGTGTGTGTGTGTGTGTGTGTGTGTGTGTATGAAGATTGACTCTAGCCACAGTTGTAGACATTCAGAAGGACCAACCTTGGATTTGTTACACTGCCTTTCATGGTTGGTAAGCAGCGGAGCAAAGTGAGTGTTGAGGTGCCCCCTAAATACCCCTTCTTTATAGATGGCCAGGGATGGTCTCTTACAGCCCTGGGCAGACTGCACAACTCTTCCCTGCCCTGCCATTGACTACAGGTGGGAGATGCCTGCATCTCTATCAGTCTACGGAGCTTGAACAGTAACTCAGTTTCAGACCAGCTGGGCTCCCCCGAACCAGCTAGTCCCTGCCCTCCAGAGAAAGGCCTGAGAGGACGGTCTTGGGACCCAGAGACCTGTGTGACAGCGAGGGGAAGGACCAGCCCACAGGAGAGGGCTCCCAAGTGACAGCATCCGCCCTCAGCCTGCACCTGGGGCTGCAAACTCCCCCAGATGGTGCGTGCAAGGGGAAGAGGCGGGCTGCACTGCCCTGTACCTCTCTCACTCCACAAGCTGTAAAGCTGTCCATTACACGGCAGGTATTAGAATGCAGGAAAATGCCAGGACTGGGGCTTTTGGTGAGCTGCACTGTGAGCAGGAAGAGGATTTGCACACGCCACGCAGGCAGTGGCTCTCCTGGCAGTGAGAAAGGGAGCAAAGAAAGAGCTAAAAATGATAATCCACAGCTTACAGCAGCTGTAAAACTGAAGGGTTCCTCCCTCTGTTTTTTGTGGTGGGAAGGCAGGAGGCCCCAGGCTTAGAAGTAAGAGTTCCCACTCAGAACCCTTCTGGTGAGACATGAACACTTTATTTTTTTATAAATTATTTTGGTTTTTTGAGATGGTCCAGGCTGGCCTTGAACTCTCAGCAATCCTCCTGCCTCAGCTTCATGAGTGCTGAAATTACAGGCACGCACCACCACACCTGGCTGAGATGTACACTTTCAAGGGTGGTTTTTGCTGCAGGTATCTGTGGCCAGGGGTGTGGGAGAGGAGCACCCACTTCTGCGGAGCTCCGCTTGATTCCCTGCTCCAGCCCTTTGCCTTCTCTCCTCACCATGCCTGATAGGAGGCTTCTAGCAGCTTGGAGACCAGAAGAGAGAGAAGCCCTTCCAAATGGGATTCTGCCTTGCGAGGGGCCCAGTTAGGGGACTTCGGGAGGAAGACCTCACAGCCAGGGACTGGACTCTAGGATGACTCTGGAAAGGCAGCTGACCCAGCAAAGCTCCTTCTGCTCAGTAGGCTGGGCCTGCTCTGAGATTTTGTCGAGTCTCTGGTTGGTAACGGTAACTTTGGAAAGAATCAGTGGGCCTTTTACCGGGGCACCTGCACCCATGTTGTCTGTGTCATTCTAAGCACCTGCGCTGCCACAGCCCTCTGCCACCCTGGGCTCTGTGGCATCTTGAGCTGGGTCTGAAGCTGGGTTTGGGTAGCTGCTCTGCCATTCCTCTTCTGCAAAAGTGGCTCTGTCCACTCTGACCAAGACCTCTGGTTTCTGGCGTGTAGGGGTCTCTGTAAAATCTTTGTTTTTAAGAACTCTAAGTCGTGATCCCTTCACCTTTACTGTCTCGTCATGTGGGGACAAATGAGAAGGAAGCATGCCCCAGACCAAGGCAAATGTACCTGGCTGGGCAAGTCTCATTCTGGTATTTTCATGTGTGACTCTGCTGTGTCTCTTAGCGTTCTCTTGCCTCCAAGCCATCTCCTCCCGCTGCCAGCTCTAAGGATCTAGGATAGTCTTGGTGACATTTTAATACTGAAAGTACATTTCATTTCACGATGGTGTTTTCAGTCTTACTTGCATGTGCTACCCTTTGTCTTAAACACAAAGTTTTCCTCTGTACAGATTATTTTCAGTCTTAGTTGCATATGCTACCTTTTGTCATAACTTTCCACAACTTTTAGACTGTGGGATTCTCCTGGGTATTGGGATTCAGGCTCCCCCACCAGGTATTGGGTGAGTGAATGGTCTTGTTTAATTTTGGTCTCAAAGGCAACACAGGTTATTGTCCACCAGTTAGATTTGTCCTGGGTATAATCCTGGCATTTGCTTTTATTGATGGACTGCCCAAGACCTGGCCTGCCATCAGGAGTCCAGAATCTCTGAGGTCTGAGTTGTGCTTTGTCAAAGACTATAGACAAATCCTAGGACCTCTCACTCTTGCACTTCCTCCCCAGCCGCCAAATGTGGATCAAAAATAATCTTACCCACCTCCTGGGGGAAGGGAAGTTCTGAGAATGGAGTCATTCTTAGTGTGCAGGTGCTAAAGGTTCCGGGGGAGAAGAGCGACTGGAACTGGCTTGTTTGCTACAAGCCCTGCACTCCATGGCTTCATTACCTGGTTAGTGAACTCTGCAGAGCCCATCCAAAGGAGGCTCCTGACCTGACCACAAGTTCTTCAGCCTCTGCTTTATGTCAGAACCAAATACCAACCTTGTGCTGCATTTGAGATCATGTTCTTTCCCTTTTCTATCCTCCATTCACTCTGAAATCTGCTTTCTCTGACTTGTTTCCTACAGTGGGGCTCTGTGAAATTGAGTCTTGAGGAATCTCCTCAGATGAGAGTCTTGGGTGAAGGCTTCGTCTCTGGCTGTTTCCCGAGCAACCTATTGATGGGGATTATTATACACATGGGTTTTTCATAGAAGAGGAAGGAATATTCCTCATCAGGGAAATACAGTGACACAGAAGACACCTGAGAAGTGTCTACCATGACACCAACTGAGCTGCTTCCTCATGGGACCAAACCTGTATCTAACCAGGTGGAGACTAAGTCATGTAAGTCAAAATACGCTCCACTCAAGCAAGTTGAGATTTCCCAGTCTGATAACACCCACTGAGTCCTGGAAAGAGAAATTGTGGGAGACCTTGGCAAGTTGGGCCCTGACATTTCTGCCATGGTTCCTCCACTGTTTCTCAAGGGTGAAGCAATACCAGCAACTCCCCTCACCCTGTGCCATGTACGTATAGCTTGCCAATACTTGATTTTGCTGAGCTGCAGGGGTAGCTTTCTTTCATAAAGTGTGGTCCCCAGGAAAAGCAGCTTTGTGCGCTAAATCTAGGTCAGAGCAGTCATTGCACTTGGCTCTTCTTTTCTTCCAGACACAAGAAATTGGAGTAAACTGGTGTTATTCTTTTTCCTTGTAGGAGTCACCTAAGTTTGCAAGAGATGAGAGTAGTTTTTAGAGAGAGAGCATTTTAATGTAAAGCCATCAGCTTTTTGGGAATGGGCAGCTGACAAAGGCTGGTCAGTCCTTCATGAATGGTAGGATATTCCCAGAGCGTAAAGATAGAAAGGAGGACTACTAAACTCTGGAACATAAATGCTGGTACCAATTTGGAAGAAAGAACTGTACATAAATGCTGGTACCAATTTGAAAGAAACCTGCTAGAGGATGTTTCAAAAGATCCTAAGAATGGCTGGGTATGGTGGCGCACACCTGTTATCCCAGCACTTGGGAGACTGAGGCAAGATGATCACTGTGAGTTCCAAGTTCAGCCTGGGCCATATAGCAAGTTCAGGCCCAGCCTAAACTACATAATGAGACTGTGTCTCAAAAAAAAAAAAATCCTTAGTCACCATTCTCATTAAGATTATTATACTTGGCAAGAGGATCTAGAAGTTCAAAGTTTAGTATTGTACTGAGCAGGAGAGCTCTGAGCAGATCTGAACTGACCCTTCTACTCTCTTGGCCCCAGCTGGTCATAAGGCTTTGCCACTGCTGCTCTTCGCTCACTGTCCTGCACGCTGCCCTCTGTCACCCCCTGTTCTTCTATGTCTTTAGCCATGTAAATTAAAGTCAGGTGTTTGCCTATTCTTATCTGTGTTGCCAGTGTTACTGTATGCTCAGCCATGTTGAGTAGGGATGGTATGAAATGCTGCTGCTGATCTGCTGAATCCAAATAAATATGGTTTCAGTGGTATCAGGAGCTCTTGGTTCCAAAGGTCTGCCTTTTTTTTTTTTTTTTTTTTTTTTTTTTTTTTTTTTTTGTCTTTTTCTTTTTTATCGGTACCGGGGATCGAACTCACAGCTGCCTGCTTGCAAGGCAGGTGCTTATGCCGCTGAGCTAAATCCCTAGCCCCGGGTCTGCCTATCTTGAGAAAGAAAGAAACAGTTCCTATGAGAGGGTGTTTCTGTTGTATTACTTTTTTCCTTTCTTTTCTTTCTTTCCTTGAGACAGAGTTTCACTATGTAGAGCAGGCTGGTCTCAAACTCAGGGCAATCCTCTGCTTCAGGCTCCTAATGCTGGGATTATAGGCATGCACCACGATGCCCAGTTCCTTCCTTTCCTTTGTAGTGTTTTGTATTGTTTTAAAAACTGAGTAAGAAGGAAACACAGTAGGGCCTTTGAGAGCACCCCAGCAAGATTCATATAGTCCAGTGATACAGATTCTAGGGTTGGGAGAGGATTTAAAGTTTGGTTGAAGCCCCTCCAGTATGGTTTAGTTTTACTTTTTTTCCAGTGAGCATCTTAGGTGATTTAGGGGAAGCACACAATGACAATATGATTTAAACCTGCAAGAAGCAGGCATATGGTAGAGATGACTGATTATACTAGAGCTGAAAGTGGACATGGGATAACTGAAAAGGTCCAGGTCCATTGGATAACGATAACCAGATTAACTGAATTGGCCACAGGAGATTAGGCAATAGTCTTAGAAGCAAAATAAGTAGAACAGAGGCCAAGTTTTAGGAAGATGTCTTCATTTCCTTGGGCTAAATTTATGAAACCAGACTGAAGCTACAGTGTCTTCCAGACTGGGAAAAGGTACGCTACCACTGAAGGGATGAACCCTGCTAGGTTGGATGTTTATCAGGAATCCATTAGTCCTTTGCTGCAAAGCCTTCACTTACCCTTCAGATGTAGGAAAGATCTCCCACAGTATGCAACAATAAGACTCTGTGTCCACACACACACACACACACACACACACACACACACACAGCATTTTAAATAAGTTCTTTGCATGCAGTACTGAACCAGAAAGCGCTATTTTTGTTTTGATTTTGTGGTATCTGGAATGCAACTCAAGACCCTAGGGGCACTTTGCCACTGAGCTCAATCTGAGCTCCCCCACACCCCTGGGAACTAAGCCCAAAGCCTTTGCACTGAGCAGCATTCACAGCCATCTGTTCATCTGTCTCACCTGTGACAGGGTCTCCCTAAAATGCCAAATTGCCCACTATACTCAAAAGTGATCTTTCTGCCTCAGGCTCCTGCTGCTGGGAATTACAGGCTTGACTACTACGCTCAGTGCTGAGTCCTTTTTAAAAGTTGAGGCAAGGTCTCACAAAGATGCCCAGACTGTGCTTGAATTTGAGGTCTTCCTGCCTCAGCCTCCAGAGTAACTGGAATTACAGGCCTGTACAACCACACATGGTGAACCAAAAAGTCTTTAAACCCAAATACAACAATACACCCTTATTACTGGGAACAGAACCCTGCCCAGAGTATAAGTACGTACAGTGCTAAGTACGAATAAGTACTTATTATATAAGTACTTACTTACACTGAAAGTTTGAATTTTAAGTGGATGTTAAAAAAGTTTGCCCATCAGATAAAGAGATAAGAGAATTCCAGGTGGGAAACAAGTACACGTGAAGGTGGGAAGGTAGCTGAAGCCAGGTGTGAAATTCCCTGTGTTTACAGTCTTTTTAATCCGAAGTGCAGGATTGGGATGTTGCACAACCTCAATTTCATGGCGGACAAGTGTATAAAATATTCACTTAAGTTGTAAGAGCAGGTGGGTAGCGACCTCAGACTCCCTTGGGAAAGCCTGAGGACACCGTCAGGCAGCAGCACTTCGCACCTTGCCCTGTGCACAGCACGTGCAGCCAACACCTACTCCCTCAAACCCCAACCAGCGAGGAAGCCCTGGGGACGCCCGGGGCGGGGCGCGCAGGCGCGCTGAGGCCTCGAGCCCCAAGGGGCGGGCGGGTGCGCGCCCTCCCTCGCGCACGCGCGCACAGAGGGGGCGACGGCCGCCGTGACGCTCCGGCGGTGGCGCGTGAGGCAGGCGATTCCCCGCGTCTTGGGACCAGTGTCCCAGTCGCAGCCGCCATGTCGGGCCGTTCCGTCCGGGCCGAGACCCGCAGCCGGGCCAAGGATGACATCAAGAAGGTGATGGCGGCCATCGAGAAAGTGCGGAAATGGTGAGGGGCGGGAGCTGAGGGTGCTGCCTGGGCGATTAAGGGGTCAGGTCCTGAGTGCCGCACTAGCTAGTGAGGTGGGAGCCGAGCGGGTGGCGCTGGGGGAGGGGGACATGGGAGATCGCGGGAGCAGTATGCGCCGGCGTCAGCGTGAGGTTAGAGGGCGCGCCAGTCGTAGCCAACCAGGAGACTGCTCGGCTCGTGGGCCCGCCCACCAGTCGCGGCTGCTGGTTTCCGGCTTTTTCTCCAGCTCAGCTGGCCGGTAGTGGTGTGGCGCAGTTGATCCTGGGACTTAACCTACCCCTGTCGCATCTTGGTCTCAGTTTCCAAGCTGGCCTGTGATGGTAGAGGGTCATGTTGAAGTGGTCTCAGTCACTTACACCGCTGACGCTTTACGAATTAAGTCTTTTAAGTTTGGCCATAAGTTTCTCGGGCAGTTTTTACATGCCACAGGAGCGAGTGTGGTCGTCAGAATGGAAACCGTGATCCTTGAATACTGGGTTTTCTCCCTCTGCGTCCTTGGAAGACATTTTCTTTTGGTGCTCTGGGAGCCGTCGCTTAGGTCGGTAAAAGGCAACTGTAACATTCATTGAAGACATTGACTGAGCGACTGCTGTTTTTATTCTTGTTTTTGCGATACTGAAGATTGAACCAAGGGTCTTCGCTGTATCTCCAAGCCTCTCTTTTTTTGAGCGACTGTTTTGCATCAGGATCTGATTCCCTCATCATAACTAAACTCTCACAGCTCAACCCCCTGAGTCCTTTTCTTAGCTGATTAGTTCAGTTGGATGTTAAGTTTTATCAGGAACTTTTCTCTCGCCCTTCCCACTTTTTACCCTCTAGGTCTTCAGTACAGACAACGATATCGAGCACTTTATTGTCCATTTCCTCACAAGACAGAAATTCTTTCTCACTATACTCAAAGGTTTCATGTACATTTGAGACTTCAATGTAAATAGTTTAGGTTTCTCCCTTCATTTGGGATCCCTTCTTTCCTTGCCATCTGTGTCCCAGCTGCGGGAGCCATAGGGGCCGTCTTCGTTCACTTTGGCATTCTAGCAATTTTCCTCCCTGTGATCAGTAATTTCTCTGCCTCTTCTCTTTCCTGAGTTCCTCCGTATGGTCTTGTACTGTGTGATTGTGTTTTTGTCACATCCAGGTACTGAAGTCGAGCTATTAAAAACACGCAGAGCACTCCTTTGCTTCCAAAGTGATGGTTCTGCCTTAGTGCCCTTTTGTTTTTGAGATAACAACCAAAGAAATTCCTTTTTGTCCAGCTTTTTCCTGGAATGCTCGAGGTATGCTGCTGTGCGGACAAGGTGCTTCCCATTGGCAGTTTCTTTACCTAGTTGACTTCTAGCTCAGCTCCACATTTGCTTCCCCAAGGTTATCTTTTGAGATTCCCAGTCTGCATCAGGTGCCTTTCCTAGAACTCTTCAGAGCTGTGTTAAGTTGAGCTTGAGTACATTATCTGTTTGACTTTTTAACGTACAACAGTGATAATTTTGCCAGGCGTGGTAGCTCATGCCTGTAATCCCAGCATTGGGGAGGCAGAGTCGGGAGGATGTTGTGAGTTTGAGACCAGTCTGGGCTACAAAGTGAGTTCAAGACCAGCGTGAACTGCAGTGAGACCCTGTCTCAAAAAGACAAAAACAAAAAAGTGTTAATTTAGCTGGGTGACACATTCCTGTAATACCAGCTACCTAGCAGGCTGAGGCAGAAAGATTACCTTAACTCAGGGAATCATCCTGGCAAGAGAGACCTCATCTCATGGGGAAAAAAAGGAAAGAAGGAAGGAAATATGATTAAGTAACTAATGGTGAAATTTGATCTGTCTGCTGCTGGAATGCAGGCTCTAGAATGGTAAGGAGAAATCCCTGGATTCTAGCATAGGATTCCCTACATTCCTGGAGCCCAGCATAGAGTCTTGCCTATTAAGTATTTATTGAATAAATGAGGAAATGGAGTGGTTTAGTCAGGGAATAATACCAGTTTCCTGGGTCTTCAGGCTCATCCTTTGTGTTACAGTTTTTTAGGGCACCCATTTGGTTAGAACTGGAGGAATAGTGAGCAGTGTATTTCTGTTGCTAGCAAGGGTGGCAGTGGCTTCTTGACTGTGGTGGAAGTGGGTAACTCAGGGCTTAGTGAGGATGAGAGAGAGATGCAGGCCAGAGCTGGCACAGAAAAGGGCCAGCCAGATCTCCCTTGTCATTCTAGTTCTGTGGTGTGCTTGAATTGTTGCTGGAGTCCCAGTTTACAGTTTATCCCTCCAGGCCTTTCAACATTTTGATGCATTTCTAGCAAATCCTTTGTTTAAACTAGCAGGGGAGAATTCTGTTTTCTACACCTGGTCATTCTGATGGATAAAATAAATGCTTTATGGAATTAAAAAATGGCCAGTTGTGGTGGGGCAAACCTGTAATCACAGCACTTGAGAGGCAAAGACATGAAGTTTGTGAGTTTGAGGCCAGCCTATGTAGCAACAATCTGTCCTTAAAAAAACTAACAAGACATACAATATACAGCCCAGTTGTTAATGTGTTAATCATAGCTACTTGTTAGGCTGAAGCAGAAAAATCACAAATTTAGTAAGACCCTGCCTCAAAATTTTTTTAATTTAATATGTTTGTTTTTTTGAAACAGAACCTCACAATGTAGTTCAGGCTCACAACAAACTCACTAGATAGCCCAGGGTTAGCCTCCCAAATGCTAGGATTACAAGCAACTGTCACAGACTGCAGTATACTTTAGAAATACGGAGTTCACACTGGTCACAGTGGCTGTAATCTCAGCACATTAGGTGACTTGAAAGTTCAGCTCCCTCCCGGGTAATTTAGAGAGACCTTGTTTCAGAATAAAAAATAAAAAGTGGTAGAATAGCCCTAGTTTGATCCCTAGTATCTCTCTCACACACACAAACTTACACATTTGATAAAAAGCACACAAAGTAACTCACGAGTGAAAAAGACCCCGTGATCTGGTTTGATGGTGCATGACAGTAATCCCAATTTTTCAGGAGGCTGAGGATCATTCGGTTGGGCCAGGGACCAAAGTGCTGCGGAGCTAGCTAGGGTAGAGCACCTGCCTTCCACTGAGTTTAATTCCCTCACTGCAGGAAAAAACAAAAGAAATGTGTGCAGATTCCTCAGCCTGTTGTTTAATCTCTTCTCCAAAGTGGCCTCAAACTGTCATAGTGTATTTGCTGTTCACAGCAGCATTTCAGGTATAATCTGATGACATTGGGATTGAAGGAATGATCCATTGAGAAACAGAAGAGCACAAATTAATGAACAGGAAATTAATTTTGGAGTTATATTCTAAGAATTGCCTTTCTTTCAGGGAGAAAAAGTGGGTGACTGTGGGTGACACATCCCTTAGGATATTTAAATGGGTTCCTGTGACAGACAGCAAGGAGGTAAGTGTGGAAGAAAATCCAGACAACAAAAAGGTATCGTCTCTGTCTCTGTCTCTCTGTCTCTTTCTCTCTCTCTCTCCATCTCTCTCTCTCTCTCCATCTCTCTCTCTCTCTCTCTCTCTCTCTCTCTCTCTTTCTCTCTCTCTCTCTCTCTTTCTGATTACCTCTTCAGGTCTCAGCTGAAAATAGTTGAGGGTGTCCTTTGTCATTGTTGCACGAGTGCTTCTCTTTGGCTTGTCCTACCTGTTGCCTTCCTTTAACCCATTCTGCTTTCCCAGGACTGGACAAGCAACAGCCCAGGCATGTTATCTGCCTGACATTTGTCCGTATAGGGTCTTGGCACACAGCAGTGCCCCCTGAACCCACTGCTTCACATGTGCTAGGCCAGTGCTGTATCACTGAGCTGCACCCTCAACTGATACAGATCATTTTTGAGTCAGTCTCACTAAATTGCCCAGGCTTTAGTCAAGCTTTTGATCCTCCTGCCTCAGCTTTCCAGGGTGTTGGTATTACAGGGGTATACTACTATGCTTGTCTGATGCTGTGTATTCTTGAAAAATACATTGTGTTGTTTCTTACCTGTGTGTGTGTGTGTGTGTGTGTGTGTGTATCATACACATTTTACTATAACCTTGTATTTTTTTGTCTTTCATTCAGCTTTGATCTTGGGCACTCTTTGTGCACCCATAAGTGTGGTTAGAGCTGTTCCTGTGGACTCTGGCATTGTGTTCTCTTATTTGCAGAGGAGGTAGTTGGCTGCACAGTCCCTGGTGATGAATACTTCTGTAGTCTCCAACTTTTTTTCCTAGTTGTTGTTTTAAATTTTGAATGTAAAACACAGGGAAGCATGTAAAACAGAATTGTATAGTATAATACATACAAAGCTAATATCCTTACTATCAACCATGCAGGTCAAAAAAAGAGTCCAGTACAGTGGCACTCCAATAACCCCAGCTACTAGGGAAGCTGAAGCCGGAGGTTCACATGTATGTAGCCATGCTGGGCAATTTCATGAGACCTTTTCTCAAAATGTTTTAAAAGTGGTAGAGTGGGCCCCTGGGTTTGATCGCCAGTATGAGAGGAGGGGAAGGGATAAAAGGATATTGCTACCAGGTTTGGTGGCACACACCTGGGATCCCAGCATTCAGGACTGAGGCAGGAGAATGACCCTGAATTTGAGGGCAGCATGGGCTACATAGTGAGATCCTGCTTCCAACAACAGCAACAAAAAATTGCCAACTCTCTAGAAACTTCTGTGTCACTTTGCTGGACAGGCTTTTCCCTTCTAGAGGTAATCACTATCCTTCTGCTTTTCTTATCACTTATAAACATTTTTGGGGCCAGAGGTTTAGCTCAGCAGCATAAGCACCTGCCTTGCAAGCATGCGGTTGTAAGTTTGATCCCTGGTGGCAATAAATAAATAGATAGATAGATAGATAGATAGATATTTTTAACTTGTTTTATTTTGTTTTGAGACAGGGTTTTGCTGTGTAGTTCAACCTTGAGTTCATTATGTAGCCCAGGCTGGCCTCAAACTTGCCACAATCCTCCTGCCTCAGCCTCCCAAGTGCTGGGATTACAGGTGGGCTAAACCATGCCCAGCCTAAACATTTTGACTTTATATTTTGTTTGGACCCAGCATTATATTTATAAAAATTCATGTTTGAAACTATTTGTTTATTTTCTTCAGTTTCTTTTTTTTACTTTGAAACAAGGTCTTGCTATTTTGTCAGACTTGCCTTGCACTCTTGGGTTTATGCCATCTTTCTGCCTCAGCCTCCATGGTAAGAGACTAGTCACTTCCAGGGTTTTTTTTTTGTTGTTGTTGGTTTTTTTTTTTTTTTTGTCTTTTTCCTTTTTACCGGTACCATGACTGCCTGCTTCCAAGGCAGGTGCTTATGCCGCTGAGCTAAATCTCCAGCCCCAGTTGTTGTTGTTTTTATTTTGCTTTGCAGTATTAGGGATAAACCCAGGCAAATTCTACCAGTGATCTATATCCAAATCTTTTTTTGGAGATAAGACCTCAGTAAGTTGCCTAGGCTGGCCTTCTTTGTGATCCTCTAGCCTCAGCCTCCTGAGTAGTTAGGATTGCAGACATGTGCCACCATGCACCTCTCTCTCTCTCTCTTTTCTTTTGTGCTCTTGTGCACGCTCTCTCTCTCATTATATATTCATATATATATGAATATATATATATATATATATATATATGACAAAATGGCATCCAAGGCTAATGATCTTAATCCTGAAAAGTGCAGATTTAAGCAGGCTCAAAAATGTGCTCCCTGCACCCGTACCTGTGTGGTATGTCATCATCTGACTGTATCATCATCCTTCCGATTCTCCTGTAGATGACTATTTGGGTTTGTCTTGCTTTAGAGTGAGGAGGGCAATGACCCTACAAATATTTTTCATTCAGGTCCAGGTCAGTGTGTTGTGTGTTCTCCCTGGAAAGTGTTCCCAGGAGTAGGGTTGCCAGACCTGAGGGTGCATGTGTTTTCACATGTTTCTCTAATGCTGACTTGTTTTCCAGAGTGGTTATACACATTTATATTCCTACCAGAAATATGAGAGTTCTTCATTGCTTCATATCCTCATCAGCTCATGGCACGGTTAGACTTAGTCAGAAAGCTCCTTATGGTCTTCATTTGATGGCTTACTATGTCACTGATGGCGAGACTGAGTACCTAGTCAGTGAGAAGTCTTGCATTACCTTTTTAGGAAGTGCCTGTTTAAAGTCTTTTGTTCATTTTTCTGTTTGGTCAGGTAGTCTTTTTTTTCATCTAACTTGTAGAAATTCTCTGTTATAATGTCCCAAGTAACTGAAATGTTCAATTTTATGCAGACAATTTTAATAATTGATAATTTTTTTTGAGATAGGGTCTTACCATGGAGCTTATGCTAGCTTTGAACTTGCTCTGTAGACCAGGCTGGCCTTGAGCTCACGGTGGTCCCTGTGCCTCAGGCTCCTGATTGCTGGGATTAGGCACACAGCACCATTCTCAACCATTCTGAGCTTGATGCAATTTTCACTCATAAATCTTTTCTTCAGTTATATCTGTTTCTACTAAACTTATCACTTGATTTTAATTCTGAACAGTTAAAGTTTTTATGCCATACTGCCTCAATTTGCAGTTCCAGCCTGCATTTCCAAGGAGACTCATTGTGTTTGGCTTCCATCCTTTCATGCATCAGTATTTTCTTCTGTGGACATCATGGTGCTGTAGCTGCCCAGTGTCAGGGGTACCTTCTATGTTCCCGTTCTCACTGTTGACTGCTCTGGCTGCTAATCTGCAACACTGAGCCCTGGCTTCCCTCTAGGTGAACTGAGGCTGTGCCAGGACTCAGCCTTCCCTGTTTGCCATCTGACATCTTCTGCCCTAGGGCCCCAAGCATCTTCCTCTGGAGTTGCCTTTTTCTGAAGGCAGCCCATTTCTAGGCATGCTGGCACCCAGCAGTTCCTGGGTAAATATCAGGGGTCTCCAGGGTGGCCGTTTGCTCCCCAACAGTTCGCACCACAGTGGTGCTCTCCTCTTGCGCCTGACGACCTGGGTCTGGATCTTGCATAACGTGGGGCGGGATCTCCCACCTCACTGAGACTCAGCCAACTTGGGCTTTCCTCCAGGTGAGTGCAGAGCCCGAGTACAGCTAGCTTACAGCAATTCAGGAGAGCTCTGGGGATAATCCCCAACTCACTGTCCCCTGCAGACAAAGCTGGGGCCCTTGCCCGGAAGTGCTCAGCATCTAATATTGGGGTGGGCCAGATTCTTGAGCGTACCCTGTTTAAAGTGCTGTTGCTTTGCATGTTCACACAGTGGTGGACAGGCCCGCTTGTGGGTGGAGAATTTATTATAGTAAGCGAAGTTTGTTCTGAATCACCCAAGGGATGAGATAGGGTGATACTGTAGTTCTGGCTGATTTCTTTATAAGTGTCTCCCTTTTGCTGATTTAAAAGGGCAGTGAGTTTTCTTCCAGTGTTTGTGGTATGAGCTCGGGACTGAGGTTCACCACCAGGTGATCTCCCTTCTTGGCAGTAGGAAAGGTGGAAAGCATGATGATCAAACTGGTCAAAGGAAAAAATATGAAATAGATCAAGGAATGGGACAGCTGCTGATGGGACAGTCCATTAGCACAAATTTGGTACGAGTAGCATAAGGACTTCATTCTTGGGAGTTAATCATGATGTGTTAACAGTACATCTACAATGTTGGGCTTTGCGGTATTGTTTGTAATATTTAAAAATTTCAAGCAAACTGAAGATTACATTGAAGGAATTCACAGAGTTAGTGTATACCCAATTGCATAAAACTTTGTAACAGTTACAAAAGATGCCACAGCTCAGTACAAAGTCCCTGGGTTCAAACCCTAGTACTGTCTTCACCCCACTTATAGAAGGTTATTCAGTGAAATATTTATTATAGTGAGGGAGGAAGGAAAAGCAAAATGTAAGACATACAGTAATCCTTTTTCATATAAATATGTGCAGGTTATCCCTGCAGATGATTTTCTTTTTTTCTATATTTTCAGAATTTTGTATAGTTAATACTGTTTTATGTGGGCAAGTAACCACTAAAGTAGGCCAAGCATGGTGGCACACACCTGCAATCCCAGCACTTGGGAGACTGAAGCAGGAGGATCACTGCAAGTTTGAGACCAGCCTAGGCTACATAGTGAGTTCAGGCCAGTCTGAATTACATAGTGAGACCCTATCTCAAAAAGCAACAAAAACATAATCACTAAGAGATCATAAAAAGGTAATGGTAAAGCCAAATGTTGGTGTGGGTGCTGTAAAACTGGTACATCAAATATGTTTCTATGTCCTTTTTATTTTTTGTGACATTTGTGTTGGAACCTAAGGCTTTGTGTCTGCTAGACAAGAGACTCTGCACTATGCCCCAACCCTGCCATGTCATTATAGAAAGCAGTGAGGTACAGTATATTTCAAGAACAACAATGTGGAGACTTTTTTGTTTTATAGACATAATATTTTGCTATGTAATCCAAGCTGGCCCAAACTAACTATATAGGTCAATCAGATTCATGGTAGGCCTCCTGAGTGCTGAGATTACAGGCATATACCACCATGCCCGGCTCTTGTTTATACTTTTGATCCATGAGGAATGTTTGTACAAATTAGTGAAGGAGGTAATTCAGAAAAAAAGGGCAATTTGAGCATTAGGGCTTCATACTAGTAAAGTAATAATAAAGTACAATCTGAGTTAAAGATAAATGGCCAAGAGTTGGGATTTGATTAAATGCGTCATGGTCTATAGAATATTACATAGCTATTAAAAATAGGTTTACGTAGCATGTATAGTAAAATGGTAGTGTTTGTAATTACATTAAAATTATATCTGCATATGAAAAACCAAGGTCTAGGGATGTAGTTCAGAAGTAGAGCACTTACCTAGCATGTACAAGGCCCTCGGTTCCATCCCCAAGGCTGGGGAAAAAAAGAATATGGTAAGGATGTACATAAATATATATAGCTGATTTATTTACAAACTAAGTTGTGTTGTGCTACTTACATATCTCTAATAATTAACATGTAGAAAAGGTACAAACTGGTAAATTGGAGGTGACATAGGTTTTATACTTTTGGCTTTTGAAATACTGTCATTTTCAAAAGCTTAGATTGATGATTTCCTTCACTCTGGCTTGCTGGTTATAAGCTACCACTTATCTGTGATTCCCTTATGCATATGAGCTACATCCTGCTTGATGGAAATGATGTCAGAGGCACAGGCAAACATGCAGTGAGTGATCTTTTAGAATGCACGGGGATGAGCCTTCAGCAGTGGATCTAGTGAGGGGTCCTTTTGTCCTCTGCAGCATGCGTGCTAGATATAGGGACTCTCTTTGTTCCACTGGTAGTCCCTTTTTCTCTTCTGCTGGCTGTTGAGACAGATCTTCTCAGATGAGTGTTGTGTTTCCCAGTGTGCCTATCCACACTGGGAAGGGCTGTGCGGAGCATATGATCAGAGTGAAAGAGAGCCACAGGGAGCTCCAGGAGAGGCAAAAGCACTTGCTGCTCACTTTTGATTCTGCTTATTCACTCTAAAAGGCTTCATTTTACACAGATGCTGAGGCTTGAGAAGCACCTTGGCCAGGATATTGTTATCCTTGGCTCCCTGGAATCTCAGCTGCTCTCCTCCTTCCTGGTTAGTCCTATTCCCCCAACCTTTGTAGGTTCTCACATAGCAGAGAACCTTTCTCCCTCTTTGTGGATCTCCTGCTTGGCTCTGTCATATTCCTCTTGTTTTCCTTTTCTAGAAAGAAAAGTCAAAATCGAACAGTTCAGCAGCCCGGGAACCTAATGGCTTTCCCTCTGATGCCTCAGCCAATTCCTCTCTCCTTCTTGAATTTCAGGGTGAGTTGCATCTGTATGTCTTCCTTGCAGGAAAAAGGAACCTTAGATGATCTCCCAAGGATAAGAGTAGTTTGCATACCATCTCCTTGCCTATGTCTCTGCTGGGATTTTGCTAGGCACTTCACACAACTCTTTTATTTACGTCTCATAGTAACTGCAAGGTAGACAGTAATAGCCTCATTTTCCATTGTAGAAAACTGGAGCGATGTGTAAAGTTATATAACTCATACGTTGCAGACCCTGTGTTGGATCCTGATGTTCTGGACCAGAAGCTTGCTTTTCTTTAGTTGGAATGGTTACATCTTATGATAGGCTACCCAGAGCAAGGCTCTGTCTCCTAACCAACCCTGCCTCTGTCAGTCCTGAACCACAATGCTACCTTTTAGCGTCCTTCTCAGCTACATGGCAGTTATTGTTTTACAAAGCACTTCACCTCCATTGCTCATTTTAATCCATCCAGCCTTTAATAAAACCAGGTAGTTATTATCATCCCCGTTTAGGAAATTGATGTGCACAGGAGAGTATCACAGCTCACATGTGACCCTAGTCTTAGTCTTTTTATATAATAAAATCCACTTTAGCGTGAAGGATGGAGGTCTTTGTAGGAATGAAGACTTCAGTGGCCTTTCAGTCTTCTCTTTGGAATGAGACTTGGAGCCAGCCTGGCATACAGTAGCCCCTCACTCTTCTACCCCACCAAGGTCAGTGGCATCTGGGAAGGAAAATACAGAAGACGGTTCTCTAGCTCTGTGTGGGGTGTTTAATAATCATGAGTCTGGAAGGCTTACAAGACTGCATTTCCTCAGTCTGGTGCCCATCTCCTCTTCATTCAGGAAATGGTTAATGAGCTCCTGCTGTGTGTCGGGCTATGTGTTACAGGCAGAGAGCCTGCCACATAGGTGTGTGCAGCAGTGAGTGCAGGGTAACGCATGGCCTAAGAGGGGCATCACAGAGAGTGTGAGCTTTTCTCTAGATGAGCCAGGGAGCAGGACTGCTGTACCACAGGTGTATGGCTTTCCACGGAGCCTGGGCAAGGCAGTCTTAGCAGCACAGGGGACTGTGCATGAAGAGCCCTTGGGTTAGCATGGAGCTTTCAGGAGCCCAGGCTGCATGTGGCAGAATAGCAGTCATTAAGGCCAGAAATCAGCTGGATTTTGCATGTGGTCATTGGGCCATCTCCAGTGCACGCTAAGAGGCATCCTGTAGATGGCAGGGTCCATGCAAAGGTTTGGGTTGATTATTTTGGCAGTGTTAGGGCAGCACACTTAGTGGCTGTCACAGAGCACATGCAAGAGGCAGTGAGGCCTTGGGGCTGGGGTTATAGCTCAGAGGCACAGCACTTGCTTAACATGCACAAGGCCCTGAGTTCAATCCCCATTACCAGCAAAAAAAAAAAAAAAAGAAAAGAAAAGAAAAGAAAAGATGAAAATGAGCCCTGAACTGGAGGAGAGGACAGAGCAGGTACAAGTCAACTCAGCAGAAGACATCGATTTGGTGACCTGCCCCTGGAGGGGAGGGAGAGGATAGAGCTGTGGTTGTTTTGTTTTTTGTTTTTGTTTTTCCTTTTACATGATGACTTTGAGCCCTCAGAGAGTGCCCAAGTGGTAGTTCCTCATCTGTGAGGAATGGGGCAACCAAAGATGTGAGCTGACGACCTCCAGACCCCAGCCTCCTTTAGATACTCAGGAGTGCCAGGCTAATGCTGGCATTTCCTGGATGATGTGAGAAACATGGGAAGTACTGATTGTGGTCACAGCTCCACCTGTCCTTCCACTGGGAAGTGAGGAAAGAGCAGACTCAAGTTTAATAGGTGTTAATGAAGAAACAAGCAGGGGCTGGGGATTTAGCTCAGCGGCATAAGCCCCTGCCTTGCAAGCAGGCAGTTGGTGTTTAATCCCTGGTACCAATAAAAAAAAAAAAAAGAAACAAATAAGCATAACCCAAACCTCCCAAAGTCTGAAAGTTTTGGTGCACTGGTGCTGAGAATATGTTTTTGTTTTTGTTTTTTGTCTTTTTCCTTTTTATCGGTACTGGGAATCGAACTCACGACTGCCTGCTTGCAAGGCAGGTGCTTATGCCACTGAGCTAAATCTCCAGCCGGTGCTGAGAATATGTGTAGTCAAATAGAATGTGTTTAATTAATCCCCATAGACTGCAAACAATTGGCAGTGTACAGGAACCCCCCCGAGTGTCCCCCTTTTCAGGGACTGTCTGCAGCAGCGACATAGTGCCCACTGTGCCCAAGACTGCCTATAGGGACACCAGCTTCCCAGTCCTGGATTGAGTTTCTCTTGAACATGCCTGCCTCAGCTGGTGCCCTTGTTGTGTTTGGTTTTCAGATGAAAATAGCAACCAGAGTTCCGTGTCTGATGTCTATCAGCTCAAGGTGGACAGCAGCACCAACTCGAGCCCCAGTCCTGAGCAGAGCGAGTCCCTGAGCCCCGCACATACCTCTGACTTTCGCACTGATGACTCCCAGCCCCCTACTCTGGGCCAGGAGATCCTTGAGGGTGAGTTGTGGGTGGCCCAGGATAGTATCATAGAGGGACCTTGCCTCTGGCCTGATTTTTCTCTTTTATGCCAGCACCTGGGAGACTGAAATAGAAGGATCCCAAGTTTGAGGCCATCCTGGGTTACATAGTGAGTTCAGAGTTGGCCGGGTCTAGTGAGATGCAGTCTAAAACTGATGGAATCTGTCACCCTAAGTCCTAACATCAGAGTTAATACTCTTTGCATTATATCCTGGGATTTCTTAGTATATAGATGTGTATAGGTCTTTGGCCCTTGGTAGCTTCTCCTAGTGCATGACCTGTTAATAGCAAGCCACAAAACAGAGCTGGTTTCTCTGTGGGTAATCGCAAGTGCAGGTTCTATTTGCTGTGTACTATTTTCCATTCACTATTGGGCTCCTTCTGTGTATTCTTTAATTCTCATAGCAACCCTCTCCTAACAGTGGGACCGCTGTCAGGATTGGAATGCTTGGTCTAGACAGCTGGAGGATGGGCTGGCTCCCAGCCTGCCTGGATGGTGGCCTCTGACTTAGCTGTACTCTCCCTGTATATCATCTACCATTAGTGACTGTGGTTCCTCATCAGACTCCTGGCCCCAGTAGGCCACTGTTCCTCCATCTTGACAAATTCACCTCGCTGCGGCTTGGACAGCTGCCCGGGGTGAGGCCAACGCTCAGGGCCGCCTGCCTCTGTGAGGCCTGCACTTGGGCTCACCTTGCTTTTTCAGAACCCTCCCTGCCTGCCTCAGAAGTTGCTGATGAGCCTCCCACCCTTACAAAGGAAGAACCAGTCCCGCTGGAGACCCAGGTAAGGAGGCCCCTTGGCCTTCCCTGTTTGCAGGGCAAGGACAGTTGTGCTGAGGTCACATGGACAGCGTTGAGTGTGCTCCGGCCAGGCATGCTACATCTTGGTCTTGGGAGGGAAGTGGGTATTTTCAAGGAGGCAGAGGGCAGACTCCAGGATGTTACTGGGTGGGAGTGAGGGTCTTTCACCCAGTCCCTACCACTTACAGCTCTGCTCCCACTAGATGGCCGAGGAGGAGGAGGACTCCGGTGCCCCACCACTGAAGCGCTTCTGTGTGGACCAGCCTGCTGTGCCGCAGACAGCCTCCGAGAGCTAGCACTGACCAGCGCGTTCCTCCTGGCCCTGCCTCTATTTATTGCATTCTGGCTCTGGCTGTGCGGTGTCACTGGGGTTAGGGTAGCACCAGGGTTCAGAGCCTGCACATGGGAGCCCTCTGGGCTGAAAGGCTGGTGTAGGACCTAGGGTTGTAGTGTCATCGTCCTGTCCCTGACACTTGTGTCAGCTTGCTCCTGGAAAGAGGAGTGCTTATGTCCTTTTGCACCCGAACAGGCTGGAGCCTCTGCCATTCCAGGGTTCGTCTGTCACCTCCCAGTAGCATTCTCTGCTCCAGAGCCTCTGGGCAGAACTACTGGCGCTTCTTCAGGAGAAAGATATGGAGGGCACCTCTGGGGAAGAGAGTGCCTAGGTTACTTGAACTTGATTGAAGACTGTAGATTGTGGGACTTCTGCAGGGCCTGGGCCCACCCTGTGGTCCCCTTTGGAGGACTGGATGGAGACGTGGGTGGACTGGGTGAGCCCCCCCCCCCAAGGAAGGGTCTTTCTTGCCCATGGGCACAAAGTCCCTGTAAGTTTCTTGCCATCCTGGCGCTTCTGCCCAGTCCTCTGGAGGTGCCGCCTTTCCTGGGTGCTCCCGCTGCTGACAGCCCTGTCCGGGTAACTGTCCTGGCCCTTTGCATATGCACACATGCAGCTTCCTGTCTTCACCTATACGTTTCATTCCAGTGTACCCTGCCTCCTGCCACCACCCACCCCAGCAAGGATCAAGGTTCTGACAATAGTACCCATCCTCCACAGTACTCCTCAGCTCAGACTTTCTAGAAAGGTCCCCCTTTTTTTTAAAATCTGCATGGTTAATTGAACTTTGTGATTTTATTTTTTGTTTAAAAGAAGTTTAAGAAAATGGAAATGGGCAACAGCAAGTGAAGACTTATTTTAGCACTGAATAGAATATTTTTAAAATTAAACTATTTGAAATATGTCCTGTTGGTCTCTGAGTTCTTCATTCTCGGAGGCTGTGGGTAGGGCTGGGTGGCCAAGCACCTGTGCTGTCCACTGCAAAGCGCTCTGCACTTGAAGGCTTGGAGACTCTCTTGGGGGTTGGCAGCTCCTTTGAGTCCTGCTTTATTCAGAGTGCAACCAGGTGCTTGAGACAGACTCATGAGTTATTTTACTTTTTGAAATTGTGGTAAAATACATGTAAGATACCCATTTAAAACTTTCTTTCAGGTTTTTTGAGACAGGGTCTCTACATAATCCAGGCTGGCCTTAAATTCATTGCAACCCTCCTGCCTCAGGCTCCCTAGTGCTGGGATTACAGGCATGGGCCACTGCACCCAGCTTCATGTTAAACTGAAGTGCACAGTTGAGTGATACTAAGTACATGATGTAGTCATCACCACTGTATAGCTCTGAACTTTGTCATTACACCACACAAAAACCTTATACAAGCCTGGAATGATGGCCCATGCCTTTTATCCTAGCTATTCAGGAAATAGGCAGGAGGGTCACCATGCTGAAGTCCTGCCTGGGAGACTTAATGAGACCCTATCTCAAAGAATTTTTGGTCAGGGCCTCACTTTATAGTCTAGGCTGGGGCCAGGGATTTAGCCCAGTGGCCTAAGCACCTGCCTGGTAAGCGCAAGGTTTTGAGTTCGATCCCCCAAAAAAGAAAAAGCACTTGTAAATCATACTCTAGGCTGGCCTTGAACTCCCTATGTAGCCTAGGGAGTTCACAGCAGTCCCACTGCCTCGGCCTTCCAAGTGCTTGGATTATAGACATGCACCACTGTGCCCAGATTCCTGTCTCAAAATTTTAAAAAGTGCTAAGAATGTACCTCAATTTTTAATGTCCCTGGGTTGTTCCCTAGAACTGCAGAACAAAGCAAAACCTTGTAGTAAGCAAGCTTTCTCCATTTTCCCTTCCCCTCAGGCTTGGGCAATCACAAATCTGTGTCTTCAATTCTTTTCTTGATTCTAAAAGAAAACAAGAGTCATGGTTGGAAAGAAGCCAGTATTCTGTATGCTTGAAGTTTCATTTTAGTATACTCTGAAGCAACTCACAGGGGCTTCAGGTATGAGACTAGCATGGAAGTTCCAGTACCTATTACATCATCCCTACTTTGTTTTGTTCTTAAGGAAATTCACGTAACATGCAAGGTACTGTGGCTCACGACTATAACCCTAGTATTTGGGAGGTAGGGGCAGGTGGACTGTGAGTTTGATGTAAGCTTGGTGTTTTAGTCAGGGGTTGTGCACAGAACAATTAGAATTTGTTTGTTTTGTCTTTTTCCTTTGTATCGGTGCCGGGGATGGAACTCACGACTGCCTGCTTGCAAGGCAGGCGCTTAGGCCACTGAGCTAAATCCCCACTGCCGAACAATTAGAATTAGGACATGGAGTTTATTATACTGTTTTATGATGGCCACCCAGAGTTAACACAAGAAACTGCAGGAAATCTATCCGCAACACGAAGGATATAGAATATTTAGTCAAGGGCCTAAATCCCACAGCAGTGTCCCATATGAGTCCAGATGAAAACCCAGAGCTCATGACAATGCCTCCCACAAGTCCAACTGGAGGTCCAGAGCCCACAAAAACTCATGCCAGTCTCTTACGGATCCGTGCTGGGAAGGCTCAAAGGTCACTGGTGGAAGCTAGAGAGTTTGTGCCAGCAGGGTGAAGGAGCTGTGCTGGTAGGTTGTGTTGGGCGCAGGCGCTCAACATACCATACCCCACCTGGGACTAAGGACCACGCCAGCTTCCGCAATGCGCTACGTCCCTCTTTAAATTAGCCAACCCGTGCACACCTCGTGCTCACTCCGTACTCTGTGGCAACCCCTGATTGGCCACAGCTGGATATAGTAGCCAGAGCCTGCGTCCCATTCCCGCCCTGCTTCCTCGTGGCAGCCTGTGATTGGTCACGGCCAAATATATAAACCAGAGCCCACGTAAATAAAGCAGCAGTTAACTGTCGCCCGCAAGAGCGTCTCCTGTATCATTGGGGTCTGCGCCGGTCAGGTTGAGGGTTCTTACCCTGGAGCCAAGAAGTCACACAACAAAGACCAGGTGTGCTGAAAAGTGCCACAGCCATCCTCAACGACACGGAAGCCCCTAGTTCCTCCTCCAACAAGCACAGTTGAGTACTTGCCAGGAAGCCAATGTGACGAGTTCATCCTAGAGGCCAAGATGCACACGTCTTCCTGTCTTCCTCCCTGGAACCAGGAAGCAATCCTTGATGTGAGGACCAAAGCTTTTCCAGGAGAACCTAACAGCTCAAACAGCACCACATAGGAGAACACACAATACCTCAACGTATTAATGCTTCAACACATCAATGCCTAGGTTCGCCTCCATGTCTCTATGCTGGCAACTTTCCTCAGGTGGAACATCTATGCAGTATGCTGATGTAATCCAGCTGGTGTTGACCACCAGTTCTTAATCCATAACACTTGAGTTATATAGGGAGGTCAAAGCCAATTTGGACTGCATAGGCATACCACATCTTAATGCCAAAACATCAAGCAAGACATGCAAACAAGAAAGGGGACTGTACAAAAAAAAAGGGCAAGGGGACTGTGGCTCCATGCTCCCTGGTTTCAATACCCAGTACAGTAAACAGAAAAAAACCTTAACACACTTCTAAGTTATCAAATGAGTAGTACAGAAAGATTTTTTTTCAGGGTTGGGGATGAAAACTAGCTCTCAAGTACTCTGCTGCTCTTTTTTTTTTTTTTTTTTTAACTTTTTTTTTTTTTTTTGTCTTTTTCCTTTTTGTTGGTACCAGGGATCAAACTCACGACTGCCTGCTTGCAAGGCAGGCGCTTATGCCACTGAGCTAAATCCCCAGCCCTGTGCTCTTTTTTTTTGAAATGAGGTCTCACTTTGTAGTCCAGTCTGTCCTCGAACTCACAGCAGAGCTCCTGTCTCAGCCTCTCGGATTATAGGCATGAATTTAGGCTCCTGGCTAAGGGCTCTACTACTGGAGGAGCTACATTCCCAATTTTGAGACAGGAAGCTGGGTGTGATGGCACACACCTATAATCCCAGGGTTGGGGAGGCCTAGGCAGGAGGATTCTTACAAGTTTGAGACCAGCCTATGCTCAATTGAAGATTGTTAAAGGTGTTTAAACTATAATGAGCTAGGCTTGGTGGTGCACACCTATAACCCAGCTGAGGCAGGAGGATCACAAGTTTGAGCCCAGCCTGGGCCATTTAGTAAGATCCTGACTCAAAAAATAATGAGCTGGCCTGTCATCCCAGCACTCAGGAGGTAGAGAGTGACAAACTGCCAGGAATTCAAGGCCAGCCTAGACTACACAGTGAGACCCTGTCTCAATAAACCAATAGGCTGGGCTGGGGATTTAGCTCAGTGGTGTAAGCGCCTGCCTGGCAAGCACAAGGGTGTGAGTTTGATCCTGGTACCAAAAACAAAACAAAACAAAACAAAAAACAATGGGCCAACAACAAACAAAAACTCCACCAAAATTATAATAAAAAGGAGTAAACTCAGTGCAAAGGCTCTGGGTTCAATAAAAGACCATAAAAATAACCAGGCAGATTTGACAAAAGGCCAAATAGGATTTCTATAAATGACTAACATCAAAATCAAGCATCAGAAAAGGTAAGGAAGAGAGAAAAATAATAAGAGGAATTAGCACTTGAGGTGTGTGGATGGTGACTTTCTGAACAGATGCTAAGACTGGGGACATAAGAGGAGGTCAGAAATTCTAGTCATCAGAGCCAAGTATGGTGGTACACACGCCCAGACAATTTAGTGAATTAAATATCATTACATAAAACAAAAAAGGACTGGAAATGTAGCTCAGTGCAAGGGCTTAAGTTCTATCTCCAGTACTGGGCTGGGAGAAAAAATCCCACCCATTGGGGGCCAATAGAACTAGATAGGAAATAGCGTGGTAAGTGCTAGAGCCCACAGAGAACAATGTAGGATGATAAAAAGATATAACAGAAACCCTTCTGGTTATTTCATAGACTTTCACTTCTGCCCCAATTCACTGAAACTCTTCTATGAAATGCAGGCCACAATTTCCACCGCCACCGAATCTTGATAAGATGTGGGATAGGAGGATGAGAGAAGAGGGAAAGCCACGGAATGACCATGAGGTAGTCCCCCCACTTGTAGATTTCCTCTGGGTATTGGTAAGTTCTACACTTAGGCATATTTGAATGTTTTTCTTTGTTGGTTTGTTTTTGTTTTGTTTTGTTTTTTTTGGCAGTACTAGGGATTGAACTCAGAGCCTCACATATGCTAGGCAAGTGCTCTATCACTGAGCTACATCCCTAACCCCATATTTGAATTATTTTTATTTTTTTGATACTATATTTTTTAGTTTTTTGAGACAATATCCTGCTTTGTAGTCCAGGCTGACCTTGAATTCACAGTAATCCTCCTGCCTCCCTTTAGTAAGTAAAGGAATACAGCTCAAGATCAAGCTCGGGTAAAAAGGTTCAACACCACTTAGATAGATAATGGGTTGCTCCCCTAATCTAAAAACCAAAGGAGTTAGTGGAACCCAAAATATATAAAGCACCCTGAGAAAGGGAAAGGGGAAGAACTGTCTAAAAAAGGAAGGCAGAGGACGTTGTTAATAGTGTATCCGGATTTAAAAGCCACATTAGTCTTATCGCTCTGTTTAGTTTGATTTTATTTTGTTCCAGTCTTCTACTTGTACTAGATTTGAGGGCACAGACAGCTATCCCAAAAATAGCAGGATATACTACGGTAACTGTCCTTAATTTCCTATTAGCTTAAACTGAAACCCTGTATTACTTACACTGTCAGATTATATAATTCATGATGTAATGAACAGATACTCTGAAGAAGAGACACTAAGATACCCAGTGCTAATTCTGTAGCATTATGATACAAAATCTAGCAATACTATTATTCACTGTTCAGAATGATATTAGTCCACTCTCTTATGTTTAATTTCAACATACGTAAAGATATGGACAGTTATTTCAAAGAGAACAAGAGACATTATGTCAGCCATTATTGACTTCCCTATTGTTTGGTCTTGAAGACCTAAAAAAACCTTCATCATCCTGTTCTAATTAGTTTAATACTATAATGTTCAGTAAGTATTCACTGTGTGTGAAGATGTGGACAACTATTTGGAAGAAAATGAGACAATATGATAGACAGTGAAGATCTCCAGTGGTCTTGCTTTGAAATCCATGTTTCTTAAAATTGTTTCCTTATGATCTATTTTGTTCTGTTTAATTTTACCCTCTTTAAAATTAAAAAAAAAAATCTTCCTGTCTCCCAAGCAGTGGGATTACAGGGATGTGCCACTGTGCCTGGCTGTTTTTTGCTTTTTTTTTTTTGGTACCAGGGATCAAACTCAAGAACTTGCTCCTGCCAGGAAGGCACTTACTCCACTGAGCTAAATCTCTAGCCCTTTTTTTTTTTTTTTTTTTTTGTTTTGAGGCAAGGTCTCATTGGCCTTGAACTTGTGGTGGTCACTCTACCCAACCTCTTAGAATGCTGAGATCAGGGGCTGGGGATTTAGCTCAGCAGGCAGTCGTGAGTTCAATCCCTGGTACTGATAAAAAGGAAAAAGACAAAAAAAAAAAAAAAATTAAAAAGAAAAAGAATGCTGAGATCACTGCAGGCATGTACCACCACATCACACTTGTGTAACTGATATTTTTTAAGGGTCTTGGCAGTTACTTGTAAATTGCCCCATGATCTTTGTTTTCTTTGAGAGATTCAGGTCAATTTTGTCATTGTTGTTTTGTTTTTGAGACAGGGTCTTGCTGTATAGCCTAGGCTGGCCTTGAATTTGAAGCAGTCCTCCTGCTTTGGCCTCCTGAGTCCTGGGGTCATAGGCATGTTGGGACAGATCACCATGCCTGGCTGATCTATCACTATTTTACATCTATTCACCCACAATCACTTCTAGGTTTTGTTTTCTCTTGGTATTACTACACACTCATGGATTCCTTTCATAGCCAACAGGTTATGATCCATGCTTTTGTGTGTGTGTGGCACTAGGGCATGCTAGGAAAGAGAAGAGGAGGGCCCTGCAGCCAGCTCTACCCCCAGCCCCCCCAACTTTTTTTTTTTTTTTTTTTTTTTTGAGACAAGGTCTTGATCTTGACTTGTCCAAGTACCTAGGTACTAACTACATATAGAGCCCAGGCTGGCCTCCTGCATGCTGGGGTTACACATTTGTGTCACCATAGCCAGCCGTCGTTTTTAACGTCTAAATTGTTCCACATTTAGCCAGTTAGCATCCTTTGTACTGGCTCCTGTGCCTTAGGACATTTCACCCTTATTCATTAAGCAATTTCCTATGTTTTGGTATAACAAGATGTTCTAAAACTAACACTTGGGACTTTGCCAGCCCCAGCCATTTTCTTAATTAGCCTTGATCATTTTAGTGGGAAATATATATATATATATATATATTTTTTTTTTTTTTTTTTTAAAGTGGGAAATATTTTTAACACCTAGCCACGGGCCAGGGACATAGCTCAGTGGCATAAGCATCTGCCTGAGAAGCACAGGGTCCTGAGTTCAATTCCTGGTATCAGGAAAAACAAAAAACCTAGCCAGGCATGGTGGGTGGTTCACAACTTGAATCCCAGCCCTTTGAGGGCAGCCTGGGGTACATACTGATAGTATTCAAACCCTGCCTGAACTACATAAAACCCTGCCTGAACTACATAAGGAGACCCTGTCTCAAAAAACGAAACAAGGGGCTGGGGATTTAGCTCAGCGGCATAAGCGCCTGCCTTGCAAGCAGGCGGTCGTGAGTTCGATCCCTGGTACCAATAAAAATGAAAAAGACAAAAAAAAAAAAAGAAACAAAACAAAATCTAAGGGGCCTGGGGATTAGGCTCAGCGGCATAAGCACCTGACTTGCAAGCAGGTGGTCGTGAGTTCAATGCCCGGTATGGATTAAAAAAAAAAAAAAACTAAGTAGCTGGCTTTACTAAAGAGAAAGTAATAGGACGGACACAGGACAGATCATGGAGGTCGTGAAGCTAAAGGTTTGGCTTTATCCTGAAGCTCCAGGGAACCAGGTAGTGGACAGGATGCAATGGACAGGAAGTTAGGGTTAGGGAAGAGATTTAAGAGTTCCATCAGTCTGGGGAGAGAGCAGTGACAAGCACACAAAAGAAAACTAACAGACTGAAGCAAAATAGAGGAAAAAAAAGATATATCATCAGTTCTCACAATGTGGATCATCTGTGAAGAATCCTAAGTACACATTGCATACTGATTTCACTGATCAAAATATAACCCGCAATATAATTACTTGGGGGAAATATTTGTGTGTGGTATTTATGGAGGGATGTGAGGTATCAGTCGGACATGGCAATGCACTTCTATGATCCCAGCACTTGGGAGATTGAGGCAAGGGGATCACAAATTTGAGCTAGTCTGGGTATCTTAATGATTTAGTGAGACCTTGTCTCTACATAAAAAATAGAAGGTTTGGAAAGTAGCTCAGTGTGAAGGCCCTGGGTTAAATTCCCAATATGAAAGGGGGGGGGGTCAAAAAGCCAAATTTACAACACATTACAGTTCTAATTGGCTTTTATTTATGACTTACGAAGCAGGGCAGCTTGTGTTCTGCAAAATGGAATGAAAGCTCCCATTGGGCAACAGAACAGTGGGCTCAGAAGGAAACAGAAAAATAGAAGAGCCGGTTGCTTAACAGGTTATTCAGATTACTTTTTGTAAGGTTAAAGCAGAAGGGACTTCCTTATGACGCTGAGTCAGGTTGACTGGAATCTCCTGCTTTTGAGAAAAGCTGGTCTATTTTGGGATCTATCTGCTTCCTTAAAGTTTCAGTTTATGTGGCACTTAGCATGAGTGACTCCACTTTGCTTTCCTCTGGTCTTCGGGCCTAGTGGGGAAGGTCTGTGCAAAACATTGCCCTCCCCTCATTTCATTTAACAAAGCTTTTAAGTCCTCATCTCCCGTTGGAAAAGTCAACAAGTAAGCCAGGTGGCCCAAGCTTGTAATGTCTGTACCACAGAATTAAATTAAGTTAAAATTAAACAAAGGTTGAGAATGTAGCTCAAGGCAAAAGCCCTGAGTTCAAACTCCAGAACCAAAAATAGAAAAAAATTATGGTGTTAAAAGGCTGAGGAAGGTCCTAGGTTTAACCTTCCCAGCGTGGGGGATAGGGGGAGAGTAGGCCACAGTGAATGCTAGAGTTCTACTTTTTGTAAAAGTTATTTCTTTTTGAACTATGTTTATGTTTCCTTTTTGGAACTTTTTACATGAAAAAGACATCATTTGTTGCCCTTTAAAACACTTTAAAGGCAAAAGCCAGGGCTGGGGATTCAGCTCAGTGGTGTAAGCACCTATCTCTGGCAAGCATAAGGTTGTAACTTCCCATCCTCAGTATCAAAAAAGAAACTTTTTTTCCTTTATCGGTACCAAGGATTAAACTCACAACCACACACTTGCAAGGCAGGCGCTTATGCACTGAGCTAAATCCCCAGCCCCCCAAAAAGAAACTTTATGGGATGTAGTAGTATCCACCTATAATGCCAGCACTCAGGAGGCTGAGGCAGGAAGACTGCCACAAGTTTAAGTCTTGCCTAGGGTACGAGTTCAAGGTCAGCCTGAACTACATGGTGAGACCCTGTCTCAAAAACAAAAATCAAAACAAAATAAACCCCAAAACCAAAAAAATTTATAATGGTCCAGGGATTTAGCTCAGCGGCATAACGGCCTGCCTGGCAAGTACAAGGTCACAAGTTCAATCCCCAATACCAAAGAAAAAAAATTTTTTTTTTAAGTTTACACTATTTCTGTAATGGCTTTTGCCTTTATTTTTTGGTACTGGGGATTGAATTTATGGCCTCACACTTGCCAGGCAGGCAATTACATAAACTAGAAATAATTAAGGCCTAATTTTGGACATGATTGGGATGGCAGGAAGAGAAAATAATTTAAAAATTTAAGCAGGCAAGCCAGGCATGTGCCTAAAATCTTAGCTACTCAGGAGGCTGAGGCAGGAAGATGACAAGTTCTGGCCCAACCTGGGCAAGACAGTGACTTAGTGAACTCATCTCAAAATAAAAAGTAAAAAGTACTGGAGATGTAGTTCAGTGTATAGATCTGGGCTCAATCAGTGTCTTACTGCTCTAAACAGAAAAAAAAAGAAAAGAAAGAAAGCCATCATTTTTCTTCTCCAAGACAAGCACTGTTCTTGAATATTTTATTTTGTTTTGTTAGATATAGGGATCAAAACTCCCCACCTCACGCTTGCCAGACCAGCACTGTGCCGCTGAGCTATATATACCCCTGGCCCAGCACTCTTATTCTGGGAACTCCTTCAGCTCCTCTGGTTGTTCCTGGGGCTCCAGCTGGCAGTCTGCCCACAAAACCCCACCCATTTCCACTTTGTGTTTCCAGATTTCTGCTGAGTCGAAGATGGCTCTCCAGGATGCCTAACTCCAAACCCTTGGCTGATTTTCCCGTTTATCTCTTTTTTTTTTTTTTTGTCTTTTTCATTTTTATCGGTACCAGGGATCGAACTCACGACTGCCTGCTTGCAAGGCAGGCGCTTATGCCGCTGAGCTAAATCCCCAGCCCCTATTTTCCCGTTTATCTCATGAACCTGCTTCTCAGACACTGGGATAGGTCTCCAGCCCACACCCATCCCAAGCGCTGCCACAATCACCCAGGCTGGGTCTGCGGGCAGATTTTTTCCCTGTGCTGTAGACTGAACCCAGGGCCTTGCATGTCAGGCAAGCATTTCACAGTGAGCCACGTCCCAGTTTAGATCTCCAAATGTTTAAGTAACTTGTTTTTTAATGTTTCTGGAGTGCTTACTCTGTGTGAAGTCTACGTTAGCCTCTATCCCCGTGTGCTGCTTCCTGTTAAGTCTCTCTGTCTGTGCCTCTTTCCCATTCTGCTCCACTTGGGCCCTCAGTCTCTGCCACCAGCTACAATTCCTATTTATTCGGTAGTGTTGGGCTGGGATCCTGGGATTCACACATGCTAGGTAAGTGCTTTATCCCAGAGCTACATCCCCAGCTGGATTCCCTTCTTAGCTCTTTGCCCAGAATGGCCACTTCCAGTGCCACCCTGGCCACCTGACACTCTTGGCCACAAAACCCTTACACTTTAGGCACAATGTCCTGAGCGTAACCATAGCCTTCACCCTGCTGCTCTCTCAGCCTAGAATGTTTGCCCCCAGTTGTCTGCCTAGAGAACTTTTTTTTTCTCTCATAATGAGCTCAAATGACATAGCCTTGGTAGACTTTTTCCATGCCTCGTGGAAGAAATGGCTGCTTCTGTGCTAGGTGATCACAGGAGGTTTTATAGCGGGGCCCTCTGACCTAGAACCACACTTACAGGGAGATTGGTTGATTTATTACACAATTCCTCCCTCACCCTTCCATTGAGCCAAAGGAGCCCTGAATTAGTCCCTAGCATTTTTTCCAGACAGGTCTTGCTAAATAGCCAGGTTGGCTGGAACTCAATCTTCCTGCCTCAGCCTCCCAAGTATCCATGGAAGCCAAGCCCCGGATTTCCTTGAAGTAAGGAGAAAAAGAGACAAGGATCTGGATTCAGAGACACCAGCGAGCCTAGCCTGCTGAAGAACAGGCTGGGAAGGTACCTGCTGGAAACCTCTGAAGCAAAGCAACAACTTAGCAAGCACAACATTTAACGCGTGCGCTCCTGATTGTTGTGGACACCCAAGCAGTCTGACTATGAGTGTCGTCTGCTTGGAGGAGCACCTGGAAGCTCCCCACCCGCCGGCACAGTTACTGCCATTTTCTACTTCCAACTTTGTAAGCACTCCCCATAACGAGCTCTGATTATTTGTCTTATATTTCTAAGGCAATCTCTGCCTTACTTTTTTCTCCTCTAGCAGCCAGCACTGAGTCTGGAAACACTGCAGGTTGCATGTTTCGTTGTAGCTTCACAGATGCCCTCTCAAATTATTTTTTCAAAGACGCTCCCACATTATCTTTTCAAGTACACCCCAAGAAACAAGCAGGACATTAAAACGCAGATCTCAACTACATTCCCGTCCAGAATACGCTAATTCTAGCATAATCAGGGGCGCGATTCAAGCCGTTCTTCCGGAATGCGCTGCGTGGGGAAGGTGAGGGGGTTACTTCCCGCCAAACCGTCCTCACAGGCCAGTTCCACCCACCCATCCCCGGGCGTGGCCGAACGCGGCGCCTTTAAGAAGGGGGCGGCGCACAAGTGGAAAGACAAAGCCCCTGGCCGCGCGCTCCCCCTCCCCCTCCGGCGCACCACACGGACAGCGGTGCCCGGATGTCGGTGTCGCCGTCGGTGACAGATGGCGCAGTGTCTGTATATGTGAGGGGGCTGCTCTGGCCTGACCTCCTTGAGCTTTCAAGGCCTCTCGGTTCCCCGCTGTCCCGCACTTTTAAGTTCACCGCTGGAGGCCCGCGCGTCTGTCACCATCGCTTACATAACGTGACCTTTCACCTCTTCAGACTGCCCTCTAGTGCACTGCAACCTAACTACGCGGCAGGGGCAGGAGGGCGGGATCCAGGCGCAGAGCGGCAGCTGGTGCGAGCCAATAGACAATGAGTGCTGACCAGCTGTCCGCCTATTGGCGCATTCTCCACCGGCGCCACTGGGGAGCAAGTTAGTGTGTGCGCTGGCCCGGCCGAGGGGAGGAGGGGAATCTCCCGCCATTTTTCAATAATTTCCTCCGGTGCCACTAAGGAGTCGTGACTGCTGGCCGCGGGGACCCATAGCGAAGATTGGCCGAGGGTAAGAGAGGCTGCTGGGCATAGCAACAGTGTGTGTGGGAGCTTCTGCGCGCCCTCGCGCTTCGCTCCATGGCTGTCGCGCGGTCGCGCCGGCCGTGAGGGAGTCGGAGTTCGCGCCGCCCTCTCACCCCTCCCCTCCCCCACCGCCCGGTAGCCAGGCGCTCGCTCGGGGCCCGGGGCCTAGTGCTGCGCCGCGGGCCGGCGAGGAGCCGTGCAACCCGTGCTGCCTCCGCCGCCGCGATGGCGCCGCTCTTGGGCCGCAAGCCCTTCCCGCTCGTGAAGCCGCTGCCCGGAGAGGAGCCGCTCTTCACTATCCCGCACACGCAGGAGGCCTTCCGCACCCGGGAGTATCCTTTTCCAAAGCGTCGGGCCGCGGGGTACCCGCAGGCTGGGTCGGGCCGGGGTGGGAGGACGGGGCCCGGGGCTCAGGGCTCTGGGGCCAAGAGAGCTGTCAGTGCCGCCCGCGGGCCGGGTGCCCAGCGCCCCCGAGCCGCCGGCCCCGGGTCCCGGAGCGGGGCTGAGCTGGGCCCGCTAAGCCGCCCGCGCTGCATCCTTCTTCCCCAGCTCCGCACTTTGTCCTCGGGCTTGGCGACGGCGAGCGCACCTCGCTGCTCCCTAACTTGGCGTGAGGCCCCGAGTATCGGGGGGAAGCAGGCTTTTCTTTCGCGTTTTTTTTTTAAATTTAAATGAAACCGTCGACTTAAGTTTTTGAAATTATCTCCGCGCGGCCTCGTGATCCGGCTCATGCGAGTCTCGATTGCGTCTCTGATCTCTGCGAGGGCAGCGGGGTTTCCTCCTCCCGAGTGCACTTTAGGCCAGAGATGGACTGACAGGACCGGGAGACCATCTGGAAAACGAATTTCCAGATACAGGAGAGAAAGAGGGGAAAAAGCTGCTTTGGAGGACAGGAGCTGATGCTGTCTTAAGCATACACAGGTTTGGAATTTTGAAGGTTTGCAAGGAATTCTTTGAAAAATAAAATTAAAAAACAAGACAAAAGTTTTCATGTTTTTTGGAACATGAAGCGAATGTTTTAAATAGGAAACTGCTGCTTTTCTGATAACTGACATTTCTTGCACAAGCGCATACAGTAATCTTTCAATTATAAGTTGTATGACTTATTTTTTGCGTCGGGTGCTTGGTGAGTCATTTTTAAGGCTTATGTGTAAAAAAGTAGATTTTGGAATCAAGCTTGATTTATTACCAGTTGTATCAGCTCTTTGGAAAGATGAGATTTAATAGTTTGCTTCTGTATGGGAAAAAGTGTTCACTCAAGCTGTTTCATTGCTCCTTAATCTTTGCTTTAATTTTGTACTTCAGGGGATAATTTCATTTTTGTTTGAGTGCAGCTAGGGGTTTACATCCAAAGAGAGATAAAAAAATGAGTCCATATTATACAGGAATTGTCTTAACAAAGTATAGTACAGCTCCAGGCAAGATGGTGGTTGCCTATAATCACAGCACTTTGAAGGCTGAGGCAGGGAAATCCCTGCAAGTTGGAGAGCATCCTGAACTATATAAAAAGACTGTCTCAACAAACAAATGCTCAAAACTAAAATACGTACAGCTACAGCACCTTGGATCTGAAATGGATCTTGGAGATGACCAGTCCTGCCTGGTTTGCTAAGCAGACCCAGGAAGTTTACTTGTTTAGGGTCATATACTCTGATGAGAATCAGGATTACACACAGCCCAGTGCTTTTCCTGCCTCACCCCTGGAAGTAAATCAAGAGAAGAAAGTGGTATTCTGGGGAATCAAACTTAGGGCCTCACAACTGTGAGCTCTACTATGGGGCTGTATCTCTAGCTTTTCCACTTGTAATTAATTTACTTTGTGTCAATTCATGTTGAAAGATTTATTGGCCAGGTGTTGTGGCTGGAGTAGGAGGATGGCAGGATTGGACCCTTTCTGAGCAATTTAGTGAGTTGGTGAGACCCTTCCTTGAGATAAAAGAAAAGGATGGGGACATAGCTAAATGAATATTCTTTTTTTTTTTTTTTGTCTTTTTCATTTTTTTTGTCTTTTTCATTTTTATCGGTACCGGGGATCGAACTCACAACTGCCTGCTTGCAAGGCAGGCGCTTATGCCGCTGAGCTAAATCCCCAGCCCCGGACATAGCTAAATGCACAGACCCTGGGTTTAATCCTCAGAAAAGGGGGGCAAAAATGTTTAATTGGTGATATAAGAATTATTTATCTCTATTAAATATAGCATTACTCTAAAATTAACCTCCTTTTTTCCCCCAAGTATTCCAAAACATGGAGTAAAAATTTACTTGCCGGAGGCTGAGCATGGTGATTCATGTCTGTAATCACAGTACTTCGAGGGTTGAGGCAGGAGGATCCTAAAATTGAGGACTATGTATTAAATTCAAAGTTTGCCTTTACCAAATCTTCCTTTTATTTGTGGGAATTTGGCAGTCATATATTCTTTTAGTTGTTGATGTTTCACACTACTAGTAGTAAGAGTTCAGAGATTTTTAAGGAAAGTTTAAATTACAGGCCACAGAGAAGAGATGAATTCTAAATTTGTCACAGACTGAGCCATGTGAAAAGTGACCATAGATAACTAATTTAAAACTGACATCTCAGACTATTTATGTAATTCAGCGAAATCATTGAAATATATGTGAAAAAGTTTTTTTTAAATGACAGTTGCAAATTGATATCTGAAATATATTCAGTGGTATGTAATAAACATTTTTCATTTTTTATTTCCCATAACAGTGTTTAAAATACTTTAATAAAAGAGTTCTTTAAAAGTGTTACATATTAGTGGGAAATTCTTGAGAATTTGAACAGGAGGAAGCTTTTTGAGGATGGTTTTTAAACAGTTGTATGGTTGGCAGGTCAGCATATATATTAGACTATTAGTGGTTTTATAGAAGAGAAAAAATAATGCATTTGAAGTATTGTTTCTCTTGTGAATTTATACTTACTGTTATATTTTACTAAGATTTAATACTTCTAATGCTTTTTGATTATATGTCTATTCTAGCAAATTTATATATTTTATTGACTTCAGACTGTGAGCTGGTATGTTCTTTTGAAAGTACATTGTGTATCAGTTGTGACTGATCATGCATTATTGTATTACAGCTTTACATGTATGGTACATTGCTTCTCAGGGTAGTTACCACAGCTAAGACACTGGATCTTAGTTGAAAAACATTAATTTTTTTTTAAGACATGGTTTCACTTTATAGTGCAGACTGGCCTTGAACTCCCTTTGTGGCCTTGGCCTGCCTCCCTCAGCAATCCTCCTGCCTCATCTCCTTCTGAGTGTTGGGACCATAGGCGTGTACCACCATACTTAGTATGTTTTTGGTTTTGAGACAGGGTCTGTGTAGCCCAGGATAGCCTGTAAACTCAATTCTGCCTCACCTGTTTAAGTGCTGGAGCAAGATGTATTTTAAGCAAAACTGTTATTACAACACCTGCTACATATTGTGTTGTTATTATTTTGTTTTGGGGGGGGCAGGGATCGAACTCACAACCTTGCGCTTGCCAGTCAGGTGCTGAAGCTAAATCCCCAGCCTATTATTATTATTTTTATTATTTATTTATTTTTTGGTACCATGGATTGAATTTAGGACTTCGGGTTTATGCCACTGAGCTAAATCCCTGGTCAGTATTGTTTTTGCTAAAGTTTAGAAACAATTTTGTAGGATTATTGTATGAAAACTTTTCCATAGTGTGATGGGCTGTTATTCCTACAGTTAAAATGGCTCCAAGCAGGAGTGACACAGCATGTTTCAAGAGTTGGGAACTGAGGATTTAGCTCACAAAAAAACTTGGAGTTAAGTTGCAGTTGTAAGACAGAAATTAATTACAAAATTTATTTAACAGTTCTGAGAATTGATCTTAGGACTTTCACACTCACTTGCATCCCCAGCTCTTTGTTTGTTTGTTTATTTTGAGACAGATTCTTGCTAGATTGCCAGGTAGGGGTTTGAATTTGTGATCCTCCTGCCTCAGCCTCTCAAAATGCTGGGATAAAAAGATATATAACACATCTGGCTAAGACAGGATTTTATTATACAGTTAAAATACTGAGCTTTCTGGGTTTTTAAAAAATTTTTATAATTTGTTTAAATTTACTTGATGAGGCATTTTTAAAGAAAAGTTTATTTTTGTTTTTTTGAGATAGGGCCTCACTTCATAGTTCAGGCTGGCTTTGAACTTGAACTCCCAGGGATCCTTCTGCCTCAGCCTCAGTATTCTGGGATTATAAACCTTTGCTGTCATATGCAGCTTTTTAGAGTTGTTTGAAATTTCCTGGTAGTCTGAGCCATAGAAAACAGAATAAAAAGTAAGTCTTTTTCTTTTTCTTTTTGAGGCAGAATTTCCCTGTGTAGTTTAGACTAACCTTGAACTCACTCAAGTTAGCCTCAGATTTATGGGTATCATTTTGCCTCAGCCTCCTGAGCGCTGGGATTACAGATATACCACCATGTCTAGCCTAAAAAGTAAATCTTGAGTTGATTTTTGTCTTTTTTTCACTTAAAATGTTTAGGATTACAGTTTTGCTTTTTTAATCTTCATACTTTTGGGGAGCTGTTTTCAGACTGTCAAGTACTTGTGAAAGAGTCTTTACAAGGCTAAAGAAAAGGAAACAATAGCGTATGATGGTAAGAATGTAGGTAATCTTGAAGTCATGAAAAAGTAGATGTATAAAATGAGGTAGTCTAGGATTTGAAAATATCATTTATAGCTTATACAACCTTTGGAGAATTGCTTTGACATTTTGCCTGCAATTATATGTGCTGCAGTTGGTGGAACATAAAAACCTCAATTGGCATTTGCTCTGAATGGTTATTTGAGAGTGAGTGACTTATTTTGGTAACCTAAAATCTGAAATGGGATTAAGAAGCAGCTGACTCAGTATCTCTCTAATGGGCTTCGTTTCCTTTTCCTTTGCTTTCTTTTGAAATAAGTAAAATAACCAGGGCATAACATGTAAACCCAAAATACCCATTGCTAGAGGCATTAAGGGATTTCCACTTTAGACTTCAGATTTTTTTTTTTTTTTTTTTTTTGTGTGGTACCGGGGATTGAACTCAGGACCTCTAGCTTGCCAGGCAGATGCTTATGCCACTGAGCTAAATCCCCAGCCCTGCTTCAGAAATTTTAATTTGTTTAGCCAGTTAAAATTTTTGAGTTAGTGTTGTTAGAGGATATTGTTTTGAATTATATACCTTAAGTTTATAGTGCTATCCAATAAAAATACCAGCCATGTGCAATGTAAAATTTCTTTTTTCTCGTGTTTTTTGAGACAGTGTCTCGCTATGCAGTTCAGGCTGGCCTTGAGCTCACTTTGTAGCCCACGCTGGTCTTGAACTTGCA